AACTACCACGAACGTAGAGGAGGGAGGCAACACCCCACTCTGAGGAACTGCAAGTCCCGCACTGAGGGTACAAAGACGCAAGCAGGGCAAAACAGGGTCGAGGCCCCCCAGGCAACCTCTCCCCAACCCCGGGAAGCTCTACGGCAGGACCCGGGGCCGAGCTGTACCCCCAAAGCCCCAGCCTCACAAGGAAAAGCCGGAGCAGCCGTACAAAACACTAAGGAAGGGAGCCCACTGGTCAGACCCAAACGACACGGCCGGAGGAACAGGCTCGAATGCCTCTGCTGACACCCCGGAAGAGGAAAACCCCCGAGACCGCCCGAGTCTCAACCCAACCAGACCCTACTCCAACCCCGAAACCTGCCTACGGTTCAGAGCCGGAAGCAAGGGGGAGGAAGTATGCACAATAGAAGAGGAAGGACTAGGAGGAGCGGAAGGAACCAGAGCCGAAGTGACCTCCACCCCAAAGTTCGGACCCCTATAACCAAAACGGGGCAGTCTCGTGGCATCCGGGGCCACAACCAACCTAGAGCATTGCAGCAACCTAAATCTAGCATGCAACACAGCAGCTGCCTGCACCCACTTATGACCAATGGCCTGGGTGAAAGAGAGCACGTACAGACAATACCTGTCGCACGACTCCAGGTCAAAAGAAACAACGACCCAACAGGCAGCATGGCAGAGGTACAACCAGGGAGTGTCACCCTAGGACAAGGGGACAGATCAACCTTCAAACTCGCAAGATGTGAGGGGGGATTCAGGGGTCATATCCATTGGACCACGGGGCCCCTGTGAGGTTTCCCAGGGCCCTTAGCAATGGTTACATGCTAAGGAAAGCCCAGGCAGGGTACTGCGAACTGGCGTCCAAGTCTACCAAACAAACTTCTAAAAGCTGAACCCCCAGGATGTGTCCACTCACAGGGGCCAATCGGGGAGTACCACCAAACAGAAAACATATATATAAAAAACCCTAGAACAGCAAAGGGGGTACCACAAAGGTAAACCCCTCCACCAGGCAAAAACAAAAACAAAAGAAAAAACCCTGCAAGAGGACAAAGCCCAGGCGGAACAAAGCCGGCCGCTGTTATTGGTGAAAACTAGCTGTGCAGAACCCCGTGCCCTTACCAGTGATGAAAACTACCTCCTACCCAGAGACAAACAAGGGCAACAAAACCCCAGCTGATTCCAAGGGCGGCCCAGTACTGAGCAGTAAAGGACACAACAGAGGTATAACCCAAGGTGACATGTGGAAGATGGCCCCAAGCCCCATTGGCAGTACTTACAGGGCACTTAGGAAAGAGAGCTCTAGGTGCATGCAGCCCGAGTACCGTGGAATCTCACTCCTGGCTCACACACCACCTGTAGAGACAGCCCACACCACAAGGCACAGAACTGAAACAAAACTGGAGCCAGAGGCACTCGACCGGCCAGTAAACACATCAGCCAAGAACTGTCGGTTGGAATGCAGGCACGGATAGTCTGGGGGTTCCCCATCCCCCTCCCGGGGAGGGGGTAGTTGTGCAGACGGCGGCGCAGCGACATGATGACGTCATGCTAGCTAGTTTGATAATTTTGTTTGGGGAGTTCTGTCCACTCGTTCGGCTTTGGGTAGCAATATTTTCACCAGAAGAGGGGGTTTGTTTTGGGGGTGCCCACCTTTCTGGGTGCCTGTCCCAGTCAATGGCAGACATACAATGCTTCCAACCAAAGGGGGGGTGTCTATAGGCCATTGCTCCTCGTGCTTCTTTGAGGGGGCCAGGTTCTGGCTCGTGGTCACCGGTAGGCAAGAACTCCAAGCACTTTGACTGATGCCAGAAAGTTATACATATCCATTCAGCCTGGATAGTTCCGGGGAGCCGACGGGGCTCCCACCAGAAATGCTACATATATGAGCATTATTGAATCCAATGAACTGAAATCACAATTTTCTCGACAAACTGATGAGAGGAGGGGGCGGTTGGTGGGTCGCCGGTGGCAAGGGCCGGCCGCTGGTAGTCAGGTGTAGAAGGGGGGGGGGGGGTTGCAGCATGTTTGCAGTAGAGCAAGGAGGAGTGGCAGCCAGACTGGCAGGCCTTGGCCAGATCAAGCCTCGGGCCAGACCAGGCCTGAAGCCAGACCTCAGGCCAAACCTCATACCATGCCTCAGGCCAGACTTCAGGTCAGACCTCAGACCAGGCCTGGACCAGACCTCAGACCAGACCTCAGTCCAGGCCTTAGCCAGACCAGACCAGGTCTCGGGCCAGACCAGACCAGGTCTCGGGCCAGACCAGACCAGGTCTCGGGCCAGATTAGACCAGGCCTCAGGCCAGACTAGATCAGGCTTCAAGCCAGACCTCAGACCAAGCCTCAGGTCAGACCTCAGCCCAGGCCTCAGGCCAGACCTTAGACCAGACAAGGCCTCAGGCTATACCTCAGGCCAGGCCTCGGGCCAGACCTCAGACCCGGCCTCGGGCCAGACCAGGCCAGATCAGGCCTCAGGCCAGACCTCAGACCAGGCTTTGAGCCAAACTAGGCCATACCTCAGGCCAGACCTCAAACCAGGTCTCAGACCAGGCCTTGGACCCAGACCTTGACCAGACTCGGACAATGTTGACTGCAGAGGCTAGCTGCCTCCTTCCCCTCCCCCCAATACATCCCCTCACCACTGACACCCCCCATTTATTATGAATTCTTCATTTTGACTATGGAATATGGTAGAGTGATGTGTTACAAGCCACTGAAATGGTAAAATTTTCTCTCCTAATTATGTCAAAAGCAGCAATTGAGTTTAGTATCGAGGTAGGCACAGGTGCAGCAGTCAGCTGAGGCCAGAGCAGGGTTGTTAGAGTAAGTTATTTGTTAGAAGTGAGGATGCACTGTAATTCAATTATTATGTTCATAAAACAATAAACAACTAGTGTTACGGTTATTACACTATATACACAGGTGATACATAAGTATCTGCATGTTTTGTTCACCATAACTTTACAACTAAGCTGGTATGGTAAGTTTAGACAATGACAGAGTTTGCCTCACAGTCAGCTGATGCTCCTTCCCTCCCTCACTGGTTTGAGGCAAGGCGCACTAATATTCCTCCTCCAACTATACTGTTTGAGTTGTTATTACACTTAATACACACATTACATACAAGTATACCTGGTTGATGGGGTTCTAGGAGTTCTTCTCCCCAAGCCTAGCCCAATGCCAAGCTTGACTTATGAGAGTTTGGTCCATCAGGCTGTTGCTTGCAGCGGCCCGCAGGCCCACATATCCACCACAGCCCAGTTGGTCCAGCACTCTTTGGAGAAAATGATCTAGTTTTCTCTTGAAGATGTCCACGGTTGTTCCGGCAATATTTTTTATGCTCGCTGGGAGGACGTTGAACAGCCATGGACCTCTGATGTTTATACAGTGTTCTCTGATTGTGCCTATGGCACCCCTGCTCTTCACTGGTCCTATTCTGCATTTTTTTCCATATCGTTCACTCCAGTATGTTGTTATTTTACTGTCTAGATTTGGTACTTGGCCCTCCAGTATCTTCCACGTGTATATTATTTCATATCACTCTCGTCTTTCTAGTGAGTACATTTGGAGAGCTTTGAGAGGATCCCAATAATTTAGGTGCTTTATTGTGTTTATGTATGCCGTATATGTTCTCTGTATTCCCTCTATTTCAGCAATCTCTTCTGCTCTGACGGGAGAAGTGGGTGCTGAGCAGTACTCAAGACAGGACAGTACAAGTGATTTGTATAGTAAAACCATTGTAATGGGATCCCTGGATTTGAAAGTTCTCGTAATCCATCCTATCATTTTTCTGGCTGACGCAATATTTGCTTGGTTATGCTCCCAAAACGCTAGGTCGTCAGACATCATTATTCCCAAATCCTTTACATGCTGCTTTCCTACTATGGGCACCTTTGATTGTGTTTTGTACCCTGTGTTTTAAATATCTGCATGTTTTGTTCACCATAACTGTACAACTAAGCTGGTATGGTTAGTTCAGGCTGATAGAGGTTGCCACACACAGCTGGTGCTCCTTCCCTCCCTCACTGGTTCAAGGTTAGATGCACTAATATTTCTCCTCCAACTATACTGTTTGTGGTGTTATTACACTATATATGTGTGTTATATACAAGTATCTACATGTTTTGTTCACCATAACTGTACAATTAAGCTGGTATTGTGTTCAAAGAGCATTGTGGCCAGCCTTACATATCATGAAGTCATGCAGATAACACCACCTACCTCACCGAAATGGCGTCTCCCAACATACTCCTTTTGCTGTTATTACAATATATATACACATTATATATATATGTATCTACATTTGTGTTCACCATAGCAAACCACTAAGCTGGTATGGTGAGTGCAGACAGTAACAGGTGGCTTCACAGATTCGGCAGACGATGCTACCGCCCTCCCTCCCTCAGGATTTCTCCTCCCACCATACAGCACTGTGCAAATTATCACAATCCTGCTATTATCAGAATCATGGTCATTTTTATCACAGTCGGGCTCTTCTGTAATACTATTATTGCTAAATAATACTAGTTACATGTATATTTAAAAATTTTTAAGGAGATGCTGTGGTCACAAGCTGAACAGCAGTGCTGTTAGCTCATGCTGCGTGCGCCAGCCTTGGTTACTCACTCAGTACTGATGTTCTCACACCCGGGAATGTTGTCCATGATTTAAAAAAAATGGCATCTGTTTACAAGAGTCTTGTGGAAGCTGATGTGAACCCCATGTAGCCATGGGGCTTTTAAAACTTATGTGGTACTCTAATACATCATATGATGTGGTGCACAATTCCACTGCAGTTACTCACCACATCATATGATGTTTTTTGCAGTTTAAGGGTTAATCTGACTCCTACTCTTAGTGGGCTGAGTTGTCTTAGTGAACTTTACCCAAAGGTTAGAAATTTGTGTTTTTGCTTAACCAATGTCCACATTGTTGTGGTGCTACAGAAATGTATCGGTCATTTATATATTTACGAAAATTTCTTTATCTCTTTGCAGGTCCAATGGCTCACCTCTTCCACAGAGTTCATGAACAAAACTACGTGGCTCATGTGATGGCTTATGCATCATGTATTGGACCTTATGCAGATGATTGCAAGCGTCCAGTACAAATACATGAAAATGTCTACAATCATGTCAAAAACCTTAAAAAATGTAAAGCAAACACGGGAACATCAACAAATTTAAGTTTTGTGACACTGGTGTCCATAACCATTGTTCATGTCATCAGACAGTTTGGATGTTGAATGTAAGCTTAGTGTAATCTGTACACCCTCTATACAGTACTGTATAGTATTTATTTTAGGAAGCAAGAAACTCGCATGACACCCATTCCAGGTTGAAGCTAGTTATCTATATAATTTTATTTATAAAGTTCCTGTTTGTCTTGTTACATATTATAATAAATGTTTTATTGCACAAATTCTAATTATTTTATAGAATTAACATTCATAGTGTAACTTGAAATTGCTTATTATTTAATTAACAAATAGCCATTTTTAATTAAATCCAAATTATATACAACAAATGTATATTTTCAAGTATATAGGTCTACTGCAAATATTTTAATTAGCTATGCTATTAAGAGTGGTGTTTGCCTGTTGTCAGTGGATCGGTATTGTGTAATGACCTTAAAATACTGTATCTAGAAAAAATTTGACTAATATATCAAATTTTTTTAAAGCACATCATTAGTCCATCAGTCCAATATCATTCTATCCACATCAATAATGACCAAACACTCATTAATCTAGCCCCACAAAACCCCCTATTAATGAGTGAAAAAGACTTTACACACGACTCAAACCTGACGATATTTGAACATTTCTCGAACAGTGCTTCGAGAAGTTAACAAAATTTTGAGTCACAGCATTAAAATGTCAGTCCATCCTCATCAACAATGCCCAAATACTAGTTAATCCAGCTACCAAATCTCCTATTAATGAATGAAAATCACTTTACACACAATTCATAACCGATGATATTTGAACATTTCTTGAACAGTGCTTCGTTGATGACCACTTTTGAATCACAACTCGGTAAATGCTTCTCCAAGGTACTACTAATACAAATAAGTGCAAACGGAACCTAAACACCTAACTTATGCCTATCTATACATAATACTTTAATATATAATATTATTAATAGTTAATATATATATATATATATATATATATATATATATATATATATATATATATATATATATATATATATATATATATATATATATTTATGTTTTGGTTAGGAGTAGTGCTTTTTACTCCTTTACGGATTATTCTTTCATTATTCTTTCCTCTTTTATATGTTCGCTGTGCATGGTTGATTTGTAATATAATTTTATTGAGGGTGTTGTGGTTTCTGTTCTAGGTTCTGAATTATACCAACGGTCCAAGTGTCTTCTTATAGCAGCGTTTATTTCCGCGTTGCTATATCCGTTGTTCACCAATACCTGAGTTACTCTTTCAAACTCTCTACTCACGTTGCTCCATTCAGAGCAGTGGGTAAGCGCTCGACGAATATAAGCATTGAGAACACTGGCTTTGTATCTTTGGGGGCACTCACTTCTACCGTTCAGGCATAATCCTATGTTGGTGGGCTTGGTGTATACGTTGGTGCTTAAAGAGGTTCCTGTTTTTGTTATTAGTACATCCAAGAATGGCAGACTGTTATTTTCACTATTTTCATGTGTAAATCGGAGTACTGACTCTCTCTCTAGGTGTCTTTTTAGGTCAATTAGTTCATCTGAGTCTTTTACTATTACGAATATGTCATCTACATAACGGCAGTATACAGTTGGTTTTTGTCTGCTACTGAAGACCCTATCTTCGATGGTTCCCATATAAAAATTAGCAAATAAAACTCCTAAGGGGGAGCCCATTGCTACTCCGTCTATTTGTAAATACATGTCTCCTTGTGGACTGATGAAAGGGGCTTCCTTTGTACATGCTTCGAGAAGACTTTTCAAGTGTGGCTCAGGTATGTCTAATTTGGGGGTGCTCTCGTCTCTGTATACTCTGTCCAGTATCATTCCTATGGTTGTGTCGACTGGGACGTTGGTAAATAGGGATTCAACGTCCAGGGAAGCGATGATTCCATCGGGCTGGGTAGATTTGATCAATTCTAGGAAATCTGCTGATGATTGTAGACTAAACTTACTTGGAGTGTATGGAGTTAGGAGTTCATTGAGTTTCTTTGCCAGGTGATAAGTTGGGGTTGGTATTTGGCTGATTATAGGGCGTAGTGGGTTACCTGGTTTATGCGTCTTAACATTGCCGTAGGCATATCCTAAGCCATAGTCACCTTGAAGTTTATTGAAATGCACACTACCTTTCTTTGCGTTGATTGCTGTAATTGTTTTGTTTACTTTCCGCTTAAGGTCTTCTACGGGGTTCCTCGTGATTCGTTGACCCCACGTGATCTTAACCCCACGACTCAAAGAAGCAGCGAAACAACTAAAAAATCTGAAAGACGTAACAATAAGAAAAGCCGACAAAACAGCAGCATATGTATTGATTCCTACCCATGAATACATGAACAAAATTAGCGACATCCTAAGTGACGACTCCAAATTTCAACGAATCACGAGGAACCCCGTAGAAGACCTTAAGCGGAAAGTAAACAAAACAATTACAGCAATCAACGCAAAGAAAGGTAGTGTGCATTTCAATAAACTTCAAGGCGACTATGGCTTAGGATATGCCTACGGCAATGTTAAGACGCATAAACCAGGTAACCCACTACGCCCTATAATCAGCCAAATACCAACCCCAACTTATCACCTGGCAAAGAAACTCAATGAACTCCTAACTCCATACACTCCAAGTAAGTTTAGTCTACAATCATCAGCAGATTTCCTAGAATTGATCAAATCTACCCAGCCCGATGGAATCATCGCTTCCCTGGACGTTGAATCCCTATTTACCAACGTCCCAGTCGACACAACCATAGGAATGATACTGGACAGAGTATACAGAGACGAGAGCACCCCCAAATTAGACATACCTGAGCCACACTTGAAAAGTCTTCTCGAAGCATGTACAAAGGAAGCCCCTTTCATCAGTCCACAAGGAGACATGTATTTACAAATAGACGGAGTAGCAATGGGCTCCCCCTTAGGAGTTTTATTTGCTAATTTTTATATGGGAACCATCGAAGATAGGGTCTTCAGTAGCAGACAAAAACCAACTGTATACTGCCGTTATGTAGATGACATATTCGTAATAGTAAAAGACTCAGATGAACTAATTGACCTAAAAAGACACCTAGAGAGAGAGTCAGTACTCCGATTTACACATGAAAATAGTGAAAATAACAGTCTGCCATTCTTGGATGTACTAATAACAAAAACAGGAACCTCTTTAAGCACCAACGTATATACCAAGCCCACCAACATAGGATTATGCCTGAACGGTAGAAGTGAGTGCCCCCAAAGATACAAAGCCAGTGTTCTCAATGCTTATATTCGTCGAGCGCTTACCCACTGCTCTGAATGGAGCAACGTGAGTAGAGAGTTTGAAAGAGTAACTCAGGTATTGGTGAACAACGGATATAGCAACGCGGAAATAAACGCTGCTATAAGAAGACACTTGGACCGTTGGTATAATTCAGAACCTAGAACAGAAACCACAACACCCTCAATAAAATTATATTACAAATCAACCATGCACAGTGAACATATAAAAGAGGAAAGAATAATGAAAGAAATAATCCGTAAAGGAGTAAAAAGCACTACTCCTAACCAAAACATAAACCTGATAATATTCTACAAAACCAAGAAGACTTCCGAACTCCTTATCAAAAACAGCCCGAAGCCGACGGAGAACCCTCTACAGCAGTCAAGCGTTGTATACATGTACACTTGCCCCCACGAAGGATGTAACCTTCAATGTAAGTACATAGGTATGACGTCGACCAAGCTGACGAGGCGTTTGACATGCCATCTTCAATCTGGTGCCCCTAGGAATCACATGAGACAAGCCCATGACATTACTCTAACAAGAGAAATGTTGAACAAGAATACTTGCATAATAGACAAAACCCAAGATTCAAGAAGATTACAAATTCTTGAGGCAATTCACATAAGAATAGAGCGACCTACCATGAACACCCAAATCACGGAACTATTTACTCTACCCACCATGAGAGTAAGGACAAGACAAGAACATATCGATGCCAACACAGAAGACAATGTCCAACATAACAGGCCAATTACACTGGATTAATCTTTGTGTTTGGATGTGCTTCGTCCCCCAGATGCCTCGTATCCCCTTGCCAATACGCCTGACCCCGTCTGGTATAAATTAACAGCCTCTATGCTTTTCACCTCACTGTGATGCAGTATCCCCCCATGTTTTTAACCTTACAAGAAAAAAAAATTGTATTATCACCCGTGCCACCTAATGCGGGTATAAAATCAACTAGTATTGTAAGATCTGATCACTTGAGAATGAACCATGGAGGTTCGAAACGTCGTGCAAATTATACAATTAGTGTAATATATTCTATAGTAAATCACTTCTTTTCTTCACCTTAAAAACGAAAATGACTTTTGGAGAACTCCTATTCCAGCTAAACCCTGATGCAAGAAAATTAGTTAGAGGGATAGAAGCCCTAAATCAGAAACTAATAAATACAGAATATGCGGTCATATTCAATGAAATGCATATATATATATATATATATATATATATATATATATATATTATATATATATATATATATATATGTCGTACCTAGTAGCCAGAACGCACTTCTCAGCCTACTATGCAAGGCCCGATTTGCCTAATAAGCCAAGTTTTCATGAATTAATGTTTTTTCGACAATTTTTTTACTTATGAAATGATAAAGCTACCTTTTTCGGCTATGTATGAGGTCACCTTTTTTTATTGGTTAGTTAAAATTAACGTAGATATATGACCGAACGGTAATATATCTACCTAATTTAACCTAACCTATAAATATAAAATTGACCTTATACATAATGAAATGGGTAGGTTATCATTAGGTAAGGTAAAAATTAGAGAATAAATATTAATTCATGAAAACTTGGCTTATTAGGCAAATCGGGCCTTGCATAGTAGGCTGAGAAGTGCGTTCTGGCTATTAGGTACGACATATATATATATATATATATATATATATATATATATATATATATATATATATATATATATATATATATATTGGTGTATACTGGCAGCAGGTTTTCTTTCAAACATGTTTCATTGAATATGACCGCATATTCTGTATTTATTATTTTCTGGTTTAGGGCTTCTATCCCTCTAACTATTTTCTTAGCATCAGGGCTTAATTGAAATAGGAGTTCTCCAAAACTCATTTTCGTACTTTTAAGGTGAAGAAAAGAAGTGATTTACTATAGAGTGTATTACACTTATTTGTATAATTTGCACGACGTT